AACACCATGTATGTAAGATGGATGTTGAATGAATTAGTTAATAAAATGGTTCAATAAGAGGACATGCTTGACCGTAAAGGTATTAAAGTTGTCTGTTATTTTCAGGAAATACAATGCTTCTTGAAACTATACATACAAAAATTTGTAGACCCGTTGATGTTTAATCTTCGAAGATGAAAAGTATTTAATTAACTTTATTGATGATGATTCACATTAATGTTATGTATATTTGTGTATATCTATTGCATGAAAGTCTCAATTTTGGATACATTACAAGTATTCATAATTAAAATAGAGTGGCAATAAGATATAAAAGTGAAAATCATAAGGTTATATAAAGGTAATGAATTTATGGCAACTGTGATGAAAAGAGACAATGTCTCGGATGCTTTGCAAAATTTCTCCAAAAATTAAGAATTATATCAGTACACAACCTGGTTCTCCATGGCATAATGGTGTAGTTGAAAGGCGTAACCGTATTTTTATGTAAATGGTTTGATTTATGCAAATTCACTTATATCATTGTGGATAGATGCATTATGTAATGCAATCTAATTCTTGAATAAGGTTACGAGCAAAGAGGTTGTTTCCTTTTGAACTGCATAAATGTTGCTAACCTAGTATGAGACATCTCAAAGTATGACAATGTCCAATTAAGCAAGAATATATAATCCACATAAAAAGAAATTAGATTTTTTCAGAACGATCAATTGGTTTCTTTATAAGTGACCCTGAGGAATCTAAAAGATATAAATTAAATTGTTCAAACCATAGTACATGATAAAATAAACCAATAATGTCAGATTTATAAGATTGAAAACATTAGTGGGAGTAATAAAGTTTAAGAAATGGTCATTCAAGAAATTATGATAAACAACTTGTTGCCCTAAATTATGAATGGTAAAAATTCTCATGTTGTTTGTAAGTTTAACAATGAGTAAAACCCACAAGTGACCATATACTCTATGATGAAAATTTGCAGATAGTGATTAAGTACATTATGTTAAAGAGGAAAAAGCATTAAGAAGATTACTTGTATGAGTAGATTTGATGTTTCCAATAGGTACTTTATCAAGTAGAACCTGAAAAATTGAATATTAAAGATTTGGTTTCTTATTGAGAGCCATAAGAGATGTTAATTCTGATTAATGAATTGATGCCATTAAAGATGAAGTAAATTTGATGGCTGAAGGTGAAGTTTGGGAAGTCTTTCAATTATTTTAAGAATATAGACTATTCGAGTGTAAGTGGATTAGTAAGACCAAACTTGAATATAATAGAAATATTGAACGACATAAAGCTTGACTTGTTTCCAAAAGTTTCAATCGAAAATAAGGTATCGATTAGACTGAGTCTATAAAATACTGTAAGAATTAACATGGCCTTGGTAGCTCAGTACGTTAGTAAGTTCCATAATGCATGCAGGAATTTCCTTTTTTAATGGTGACTTAAAAGAAGTATGTATGCGTCAACCTAAAGGCTTCATAATCGAAGTATGGAGGAAGACATGGTCTACAAACTAAAGAAACCAATTTATGAACTGAAACAAAGCTTGAGAAATGGTATTTAAAATTTGATGAACCATTACGACATTCGGTTTCAAAGAAAATATTTGGAGATCCATACCTCAAGATCAATGGGAGTAAGTTCATATTTTTGGTTATGTATGTTGAAAATAACTTATTGGTCAGAAATGATCTTGGTCTATTAAATGAGACCAAGAGTTATCTCTCTAAAACATTGCAATGAAAGATATGGATGAGACAACTAATGTGATCGGGATTGGAATTTTGCGTGACAGGTCACTTAGAAGTTTAGGGTTGTCTCAGAAAGCATATATTAACAAAGTTCTTGAAGGATATGGCATGCTAACGTGTTCTTCTAGTATTGTTTATATACAGAAAGGTGATAAGCGTTATCTTAAGCAATATCCGCATAATGAAATGGAACGTAAAGAAATGAAAAGTTGAAAATAAATTTTGAGATATGTAAAGATAACAAGGAATCAATTGCTCACATATAAAAAAAATCAACACACCCACAGGTGGTTGGATTTTCAAACTCAGGTTTTGGTGAACATAATGTTTCCAAGCATTACAATTTTAGCAATGTGTATTTCATCAAATGAGATATCTTATTATGGAAAGGCTCATAATTGTAATTGCTTTAAACGTCCAATAAAGTGGCTGAGTATGGTGGCAATATTATGAGGCTTTTATAAATTCAATTATGATTGCAAAATTATCTTTGAGTTTGATTCTGTAAGTGTTCGACTCTTTATGTAATAATAAAATCGACAATCATATTTGTAAAAAAGACATGAAATCTAAAGGTTCCAAGTATATGGACATTAGGTTGCTATGTCATTAAAGTAAGATTCAAAAGAGAAAAGTTTTTCATTATGCATATATGCACTAAACTTATGGTCACAAAAATATTTATGAAAGCTTTATATCCATAGACATTTAAAAAAATCAAGAAACTATGGATCTAATGGATAGCTATTAAAGTTGTTTGATTATGTTTAGCATAGATTTGACAATATATGAGCTCTTAATGACTTTCGAATCTTTTACATTCTGTTTCTAATGTGCACACCAATTATTTGTGGATGAAAGTATGATAACGAAATGAGTCTTTATACAAGACATAAAATGAACCATTATGATAACTTCTACTTATGGTCTAACTATGATAGTAAGCAATGTAGTAGTGCATGGAAGGAATTATGTTTCAAAATAATATGTGCCTGCCATGACTCTCATTATTTACTAGGTTAGCTAAGACGATTATGATGACCAAATAAATGCAATGGCTTAACAAATAATGTCGACCTTTGATTCACAATAAGAAATTGTAATGGATTATACCAATGACCAAGTGGAGAATGTAAGAAATATGAATGTATATGTATATGAATATTTCTTCCCATAATGTGGTCTTATGTTAATCCATTTGTTATTGAAATTGTTAAACCTTAAGCATATTTGGTAACGAATAAAAAGGTACTTCAAGGAGTTTAATTTCCTAATGACTTAACTAATGGACAAGTAATTCATGTTTTAGAAGGTTTCTCACTTAGATGACTTATGAAACATGTGTCATTGTAGGAAAGCATTTGAAGTACATTCAATGCATCAAAGAAGAACAAATTCATTGTACGAACGAATGATTCTAGAAGTCTAAACACTTATCATTACTTAACCTTGATGAATGGTTGAGATTAAAAAAGAAACTTTCCAAGAAAGTAATGAAAACTTGGTGAGGAAATAATAGAAACTTGAAAAGGAAGTTTGGTCTCTTTCCCCACCTATAAATAGTTGTGTTTGGACCATTACAAAACAACATGAAAGCTATGTTAGATGGAAACGGAAGTGCGTACGCGAAAACAGAATCGTATGGAAGCGCGAAATCAATATTTAAAAAAAAATAGGAAGCGGATACATGTTAGAAGCGTATACCCATATATATATATATAAGAAAATTTTATAAAATTTATAGATAAGAATTATATGATTCTTATTTAAAATAAAGCATTTAGTCATTTATTATAATTTTAAATGATTGCATATTATAATTGTGAAAATACAGATAAATTAAGTTTATAAACAAATATTACCAATTAGTTATTTTTTACATTTTATAATTAATTGGCACACGATATTTGAATATATATATATATATATATATATATATATATATATATCTAATAAAAACAGTGTATACATATAATTTATAGTATTAATATTAGTATTTAGATATATTTATATATATATATATATATATATATATATATATTCTCACTATATATACTATTATATACTATAACACATAAACATGATTTTATATTTTATTTATTTATATATAATATTTTATTTTTAAAATTGGAATCGAAACTCCGCAAGTTTCCACAAGGTTGTGATTCTGATTTCGGTTCTGAAGCGAGAAGCGCACGTTCAATGAAACTTCTGTGCAATTTAGCATGAAAGAAAAACACATAAAGAGAGGTTGTAGGCAAGGGGAGAGAAAATCTAACTTCCAACTTAAAAATCAAGAGACCATCTTTCATGATCAAATCATTCAAGAAGATTTCCGCAATGATGAAGTGAGGTATTCCAAAAACTATTTTTATAGTTCTATTATGTTATTAGTGTAGATGTTGAAGATTTTAGGGTTCATGTAAAATCAAGTTTACAATATCATAGAAACTGCAATATTTAATGTTCATAAATAGGAATAATTTTGAGGATTGGATTTGTTTAGGGGACACAAAGAAAGGAGTGATCTTTAGTTTAAATATGGGCAAGTTCTTATCTTGTGAGCAAAATAAAACGTTGTGAGCAAAAACAATATAGGGGACAATTACAAAAAAAAAAAATATATATATATATAGGAACAGTATTTAAAACTGATAAATTTAGTCTTTTTACAAGAGTAAATACCATATAAACATGTACAAAATTAATAAAAATGAATGCAGTATGTGTGTAGAATTGGTTCCACCATGTCATATAATTGAGTTGTGTTCATAAGTTTCCATTTACCCTGCTTAGTGGTGTTAACTTTACTGGTCAAATAAAAAAAGACTGATTGGATCTGAAAAATGAAACATAGAGGTTTGACGTTTCATTCATTCTATATTGTTAATATTTTTTTAACTTCACTTTTCAATCATTGATCTACCTTAATTTTGAAACCGAGATTTACATCCCAAAACAAACTCAATTCCGATATTGTCATGTTTATGATCTTGTGTTTAAAAGAAAAATCTTGTTAAAAATGCATGTGAATGTGTGAGGTCTACAAAAAATGGTATTTTTTCCTGGTGTTATGTGCGATTCCACTACGAGCTTTTATCATCGTATTATTTCCAAATGTGACCACCATGTAATGACAGCGACATGATACTAAAATATACCGCCCCGTCCCCGCAAAATACCAAAATCCCAATTCTTTCTTATCCTAATTTAGATTTCAAAGAAATTATTATCCACAAAAATCTTCGTGTTCTATCCTTTTAGTTCGTTCATTACAGCGCTGAAAATGATTGGGCAATGAACAAGAAGAATCACACAACAAAGTAAAAACCAAACGGACAACTAAAGATAGCACAAAAGACAAGAAGACATATGGGATAATCTCTGAACATAATCAGACCACTAAGTAACAAACGACTTTTAACTTCACACAATTAAAAGAAAAAGGCCAGAGAATTGGAACGCTACCACCATTGTAGAAATAAAACATTGGAAAAAGATAAAAGATAAATAATAAACCTTTCTTGAGTAATCTCTCAGTTACGGTACCTGCTTCCACGACCATAGTCTCTGTCTCTGTCCCGATCACGTTCATAGTCATAGTCACGCTCCTTGCCTCGTTCCCTCTCTCGGCTTCTGCTTCTGCTCCTGCGTCTATCCTTCTCGTAGTGATGATCTCTATGCTTGTCCCCACGGTCTCTTTGCCTGTCTCTGCTTCTCTCTCTTCCATCTCTTTCAACACCTGCCATACAATATAAACACTTTCGATCATGACTCTTGTGGGAGGAAGCAATCAAACATCTTTAACACTTTTGGACGGGTGGGAGAACTACAGCACTAAACTTACGACCTTAGCATAACTAAGGAAAGATCTTAAGAGAAACACCAATTAATACAAACGAATCATCAGAAAGCTCCACAAGGATTTGGCAGTCTAAGCATATAGCCTTGAGAGCTTAATGTGTAATTTTCTAGCAAAATCCATGCAAATATGTTAACTTTACTCAAAAGTGTCCTCTAGATGACTAGCACGAAAAAAGTTCAGGGGACTATCTTTACTACAACCAGTAGGTATCTATCTAGCCAGATAGTTTTGTGTCATAGTGGAACGGTTTTATTCTGAATCTTAACATTCGTGTCAGATTGCACTGAGGAATTCTTTGAGTTGAAGTTCAAACAGAAATTACCTAGTTCTTCGACTTCCCAGCCAGCACGACCAGCAGCAACAGCAGGTCTGGCATCAGCTTGGTGTGTTTTAACACGGTACTTCTTCTTTAGATTCCCAAACTCATCATACATTTCACCGTCATCCTGAAATTTTTATTAGGACGTAAGTTAAAACGGTATACATAAAAGAACTTGGAACCCAACCCAATTGCAACAATGAAAACACAAAAAAAAAAAGAACGTTTCAGAGAAAGCATGTTTAACCTCTTCAGCCTCACGCCTGCGTCTCTTTGTTTCCTCTAATTCTTGTTCATCCAATTCCTTGTATCCACCACCACGACCTCCCCTATATAGTAAAAATAAATGAATAAGCAAAACAGGACCCTCAAGCTGAAACCTTCACGTTTCTTTAAGTAAATCTAATTTGGATACAATAAAACATTCCAAGTGCGATATATCAATTGCAGCAGCTTTCACATACTGGATAGTGGCAAAGGAAGCACTCAGTCAAATTGCAGAAGAGAATATTGTGTCCTATTTTACAATTATCTATTAATCTCTAAAGGTCAATAAAAATTCTCTGCAAACAATAAAACTACTAATATCGCGCAGAAAATCTATAAATGTAGCCTAGGTTCAGCGCAACATCATTTATAATATCAAGCCTTAGCTCGTATAATGCAAAAAAAAACAATACAAGGGAAGCTTATCATTGACACTGAGTCATACCTCACACCACCTTCATTCTGGCCAGGTTTATTGGTGTTGCAGACATTACATTTTAAACGCTTAGCCCAGTTGACATTGCCGCACCTGATAATTAAAATATTAGAACAAAAGGATTACAGGCCAAGTAAATGAACACCAAAGACGGGAAACAGTTTCAGTGCCACATAATTTCTAAGTGAAAGGTAAACTGACATCATCAAAAACATTCACATACAAACTATACTCCTTTCCATACATCTACCATATTAATCTTTATATAGCACCACCAAAAGCCACCTGAATGTCTTCTTTTGCTATGGAAAGTAAACTTTCTTTTGCAACGTATTTCTAACAAGTATTAAATGCTCATCATGTGAAAACGAACCAACTAATTTTTTCAGAAATAATAAGATTGCTTACATTGGACAAGACCAATCATTTGGACCAAAAAGACCAGTAGTAGCACCCTTCCCCGGTGGCCCACCATCAGCACCTCCACCTCGGCCCCTTCCACGGCCACCACCACCCATGCTGCCACCAGATGCACCAGCTGGTCTGGCAGTTCCGCAACGGTTGCAAACTCCACGGAACGCAAAATTCACATTTGTGCAGCTGCCAATAGAAGAACATGAGACCACTATACAACTAAAAAACTCTGCAATATAAAACTGCAAAACCAATGGATAGATGAAGCTCCTCACCGATATCACAGACCTTGTATTTGGGCACATCCAGTCACCGTCTTGCTGCCATGGCTTGGCGGAAGAATCACCCTGACCTCTCCCCCTTCCAGCACCTCCATTTGTTTCCTTAGCAACCACACCTCCATCGTATCCAAAAGACTCACTCGGATGATCTCCTCCACTTTTGTTCTTCGACTCCGCCATAAGAACTCCAATGGTGCTTCCATGGAAGTCTTTGTTATTGAACCATTCAACAGCAGCCAAAGCAGCGTGCGGGTCCTCATAGGTAACAGTAGCATCTCCTTTCGGCTCATCAGTCTCTTTGTCTCGGTACAGCCACACCTTGGGAGTACCTGTTCGTTTGTCTCTCTAAAAAAAAAACGGTAAGAAGCTCTGACATAACGTGGATAAAAAAATTGATATGACGTCGAAAAACAGAAGCAAAATCATTAGTACCTGGCTAATACCATACCTTTAGTAACCCAATGGTCCCAAAATACTCAGCCAACATGTTCTCGTCAGTTCCTAGTGGTAGATTGGAAACGTAGACTGATCCATTTGTAGGAGCTCCTTTTGTTGAATATCCAGCCATCTTAGTCAATAAAATAAAGCCGTCAAGAATCTGTAGATGATAAGCCAAATACATTCTACTTCAGATTTTCAGCATAAACGCGTCACAACTACGTGTTCATCACAAGCATACACAAAGAAACACAGATATAGACTAATCAACACTGAGAAGCGTTACAAACAATAATATTAACAGACAAAGCCATCACCATCACGAATCTGTAGATGTCTAAGCCAAATAGCCTACTTGAATTTTTATAGCATAAACGCGCCATAACCATGTGTGTTCATCACAAGCATACATACAGAAACAAAAATATAGACCTAATCAATCTTAATCCAATTTCATCAAAACAACGGAATCTGTAAAAAAAAAAACTAAATACTGTCTACTTCAATTTCTCATCATATACAGAAACAAAGATATAGACTAGTCAGCGTTATACTAATCATATAAACAACGGAGATCGATATGAAACTTCTAAAACGTGTGAGAAACCATCTCCTATACCTAGCAGTAAACGATGAGCCATAGGACTAGATTAACATTGAAGAACAAAGGAATAACATCTGAGACATTCAACCTTCAAAGCTTTGAGATCACAGAAACGTAAACAGTAGATCAGAAAGAAGAGATGCTAATTCTCGATCCAGAATAACGAAACACAAGGCAATGAGAAAAGGAGTAAAGAAGATGGAGAGATAAAAGAAAGGAACGGAGAGAGAATCTTACCGGCGATGAGGATCAAGCGGCGACGGAGAGGTCGTCGGATTAGGGTTTGCAGTTTAGTGAGAGATCTCGCGAATAAAAGGGCTTTCGAGGTAACCCTGATTTGTTTGGAGTGGTTATTTGCAATATATGTATTCTTTTTAAAAGAAAAAATATTTACATGCGTCCGCGGAGATTATTTTAAGTTTTGTGTCAAATATCAAATTAACACAACAAAAAAACATTTATAAACTTCAATTTTATTATATTTACTAGATTTTGATTCGCGCTTTCAAAACTTGGGATAATTTTTTTTTGATGTAAACATTATATAATGGCATTTCCTCTTATTTAAAGCATGTTTGAGTAAAATTCATAACCCGAAGTCCAGATCCAACCCAAACTACAAAGTAAATATATATAATCGAAATTCAATTATATATCTAATTTTGAGTGATATCCAAAATTAAATATTTAAATTGTAAAGTACCTTAAATATCTGATTCTATATAAATAAAATAAGTATTTATTTTTTTATGTTTAGCTTTAAAATTTTGGATTAAACTTTAGTTATATTCAGACCAAATTAGTTTAAACTACATTTTAATGATATATGATTATTTTTTGATTTTAGGATGCGATATAAATTAGATGCAAAACCAATGTGTTATATCCAAATCTCAATTGGTATTTTTGAATTGAGCACAATATAACCAAAATTCAAAATGCCCAACTTGTATTCTATGGTCTAAAAAATTTTATTTACCCAAAATATAAATTATATATATATGTACTTTTATAAAGAAACTTTGTTTTTAAATTATATTAATTAAATTAAAATTCTGTATAAATATAATCTTATGAAATAAGATAATTTAGTTGTATAACCGGCCTCCTATTAATTAAAGGTATAATATGAATTTTTTTTATTAACTACATTTTTATGCAATAATATGCAAGAAACTCTAATTGTTAATCATAATATAAAGCTCAGTATACCATAAAATCAAATAATATTAATGTCAAGTAAATTTAGTATTGTATTTCATATTAAATTATATCCTAATATTTTAATTTAGATATTTATATTAAAATATAAAATGATTTCTTATTTTAAATATTTTATTTTAGTATTTTGTTTTAATAAGTTGAAGTATGTTGTAAACTATATATATATATATATATATATATATATATATATATATATATGTGTGTTATTCTGTAAAATGTAATTAATTTAGTTTATAATTTATAAGAAAATAGATTAAGTTATTACAATTATTATTTAGAGTAATATTCAGTTGAAATATTTATATATAAATATTATAGAAGGTTATTTCTTATTCTATAAATCAAAATGACTTAATATACATTTGTAATTGAATTTAATATTATTTACAACTTTATTATTAAAATAGTATTAAAAGAATAAATATTTATATTTTAAATAGAAAGATATTGTTAAAATGCAATTTGAAAAAACAGTTAAGAAGATATTTTTGATATCTTATTCTGAATATATTTAGTAATATGTTAAGATTATGTGTTTATTTAATAATAACTAAGTTTATTGTATGAAACATAATATAAAATTAAATAAATGTAGTGGTCTAACCTAGATTACTTGCAAGTAGATAAAAACTGATTTTGTTTTAATAGTATTGACTGTGCCGGTTCTCATTGTTTAGAATTTTTAACAACGAAGCTTAATAATTTTTCTTAGTTTAATTTATACCATAAAGAAACATTTTCTCAAGTATAAAAATTACAAATCTCAAGTTTTTCGTGTTAATAAACATATGATAAATAGGACGAGTGGTTTTTCTAATAAAAATTAACTATTTTTTTAATTTTTTTGAATGAATATTAAATTTTATTCATCAAAAAACCTATAAACAACAAACACTACAAGAAAACTAAGAAGTTACTACGAAATTTTACTAGGAAAATAATTCCTCGTAAAGATACTATGAACTTACTTCGAAATTACGAGGAAACCATATTTCCTCGTAAGGTCCTCATACAGTTACGAGAAAAATATTTCCTCGTAACACCGTAGTAACTTTACGAGGAAATTACGTGGCAATAGTACATTTCCTCGTAAGCCCGTAGTAAATCAGTTTCCTCGTAAAGTCCTAGTAAAATGTTACTACGAAATTAAGAGGAACAGATTTTTTACTACGAAATTAGGAGGAACTGGATAGGAAATATGGAATTTAAATCAAAAACGTGTTTTGTACCTACATTTCCTAGCAATTTCCTAGTAAATGCTTAAAAAATTTCTATAAATACCACAATTGTGATTCATTTGAAACACACCAAAAAATAATCAGCTATAAGCTTGATCAAACACAGAAAAATGTTCGGTTCGGGAAATATTTTCCAGTTGCGGAAGTGGATGTATTCACACAGAGATAATAACGGGAGGGTGACGAATGAATATCTCGAACGGTTGGAGACGTTTATGCATCAGACAGATACTACACCACTCACGCTGGAAAGTGGTAAGATGTTCTGTCCTTGTCGGAAATGCTGCAATACAAAATTAGGTCATCGTGAAAATGTTAGGAAGCATTTAAAAAATAGAGGTTTCATGCCATATTATTATATTTGGTATCAACATGGAGAAGATGATGCTAGTTGTAGGAATGAAGGTAGCAGTAGTAATAACAATTTTCAGGTTGAATCGGTTGATCATTTGCGTAATGAAAATAGCTAACATCACCAAGAGAAACAAATGGTAGATTGTGATAGGGTTCATGATATGGTAAGTGATGCCTTTGTAACTAATGATGATGATGAAGTTGAAGAACCTAACTTAGATGCAAAAAAAGTTTTATGAAATGTTAGATGCTGTGAATGAGCCAATTTACAGTGGTTGTAGAGAAGGTCTGTCTAAATTGTCGTTGGCTGCTAGAATGATGAGTATTAAAACCGATCACAATCTACCTGAAAATTGTATGGATGCATGGGCATACTTGTTTAGAGAATATTTGCCAGAAGACAATGTGTCTGCTGAATCTTATTATCATATTCAGAAATTGGTATATAGTCTTGGGTTGCCCTCGGAGATGATAGACGTTTGCATCGACAACTGCATGATTTACTGGGGAGATGATGAGAAGTTAGAAGAATGTCGATTTTGTAAGAAGCCACGATTCAAACCGCAAGGTCGAGGGCGTAATAGGGTACTGTACCAAAAGATGTGGTACCTACCAATCACAGACAGATTGAAAAGATTGTACCAATCTGAGGAGACTGCTGGAGGGATGAGATGGCACGCCGAGCATACTCAGACGGATGGAGAGATGACTCATCCATCAGATGCAAGAGCCTGGAACAGTTTAACAATGTACATCCACATTTCGCTAGCAATAGCCGGAATGTGTATCTTGGATTGTGCACTGATGGATTTAGTCCATTTGGAATGTCTGGGAGACAATATTCATTGTGGTCGGTCTTTCTTACACCGTATAACTTGCCACCGGAGATGTGCATGCGACGAGAGTTTCTATTCATGAGCATATTATTACCTGGTCCAAACCATCCAAAAAGATCTCTCAGCGTTTTTCTACAACCACTGATAAAAAAGTTGAAAGATTTGTGGTCAACAGGGGTGAGGACATATGATTGTTCAACGAAAAAAAACTTTACGATGCGAGCGATGCTTTTGTGGATCATAAGTGACTTTCCTGCATATGGTATGTTGACTGGGTGGACTACACATGGGAGATTAGCTTGTCCATATTGTAATGGAATGACAGATGCGTTTCAGTTGAAGCATGGTAGGAAGACTAGTTGGTTCGATTGTCACTGTCGATTACTTCCCATTCACCACCCATACCGAAGAAACAATAAATTGTTCAGGCACAAAAGGGTTGTCAGAGACACTCCTCCTCCATATTTAACTGGAGAACAAATCTAAGTGCAAATCGATTACTACTGTGCTCTAGAAACAGCTCCTCGTGGTGGGAATAGGCATGTTCCCAGTAATATGCCTGATTCTTATGGTGTTCAGTACAATTGGCACAAAAAGAGTATATTTTGGGAATTGCCATATTGGAAAGATCTTCTTTTGCGCCACACCCTCT